GGGTTGCCATGACGACAACCCACGCAGCAGCAGCACATGCCCACAATGTACACAGGAATCAGTGCCTCATGCCTGCGTCCTTCATACAAAGACTATGATGTTTGTGACCACTTGAATTGAACAGTTTGGACATTATATACATTGTTTATTATCGTTTTTACACATTTTTTTGTGTGCATAAATACAGATGAGATTGCACTTAGAGCCTCTAATCTTCACTCTATCCTAAAATCTGGCACCAGTGTATGCGCAGTCACTATGAGCTCACTCGTAACTGCGCTGAGCGACCGCTTCTTTGACAATAATGAATGAGCAGGAACACAGTCAATTGCCCTTAATCATTTTGCTTTATCTTAAGTAATTAATAACGGGGTCACTGCTGGAGAGCCATTAGGGCTTTCATTTATATATGTCAATAAAGGCGTGAGGAAAATTCATCCCGTTCTTTGTTAAGCACTGTCATGTATAATTAGGCTGTGAATATAATATTGTCCAAGCACAGTTTGCATGTTCTCCTTGTGCCAGAGAGTGTACTTCCAGGAACTGCAATTTTCCCCAGTTAACCCTTTTAACATTCACTTCTTGAAGAAAGCACTTTATCTTCTAAAATGTAAGACACTATAAACACAAATAATTGTGTTAAATGTTTGAGATGCAGTTTGATGATAAAAGTGCCTAAAACCGAATGAGATGCCCAAAAAAAAGGTATATTTTTGCTGTCGTTGTGTCCTTGGGCAAGACACTTAACCCCACTTTGCCTGAAGCCCCCGCTGAAAGATCAAGGCTCCTGTGGACTCACCACCTGCAGGAGGATCAGTGAGGGACTGGTGCTCTGTGTACTGGGTGCAGCTCTGACTGCCAACCCCCCGACCCAGAAATGGATTAAGGGGAAGAAAATGGATGGATGGATAACTAAGGATACAGTGAGGGTTGATGAAAAGCCACAATATAAACAGTGAAGGTACTTACAAAAACAAAACTTATGCCTCAAATATCAATAACCAGAATAGTCTATCGGTCTCATTGCAGGATTTATACTGTACTATTCAAGCGCATCCTGTTACATTGATCTAAATTTAGTATCTTGTCCCAAATCTTTGCCCAGTTGTAGAAGACAGAACTAAGGAGCAACAATGATTTCTTACGCATGATTAAATATAGACAATGCAATGGTTCCTACCTCTACCCAAGAGCTAAAGTAATCTGTCTGTTTGTCTGTGAGCAACATACTGTAAATAAACAAGTTATTGGAGGATTTGGATTATATTTTCACAAAACGCAGTGATTAAATTTTTGAGCTGATCCGAATACTTTTCTAGATGCAGGATTTACTTTTTAAAGGAATGGAACTACATGCCAATATTCACATTTTAGGCAAATTCGCTAACATGGACTAAGGGTAGATTCTCCCTTTAGTCTTGGTGACGTCACAATTCTCTCCCATATGATCCTGCTTATCGGTTCCTACGTGGCTTTTCTCACGGATTTCACATTTCCTTTAGTGTTTTGACCATCCAGGGATCTTTTTGACATCGACAATCAATTATTACTCAATTCCTCATCCCTGTAATTGATCTGAGCTTGTCAAAAGTGTCCCATAATCCCATGTTGATAGCATATCTGTTTAGACAGGCGGGACCAAGTGAAGCCTTTGACCTTCAGTAGGGCCCACGGCACACACTGAAGACAGTGTATACTCACATGCAAGCTTAGTCAATTCGCCGTTATCGATCACTTGTCACTGGGAGGAAGGAACATGGCAGAGGAATCAATTACACATATGGAGTGTATAATCAAATTTCTCTAGAAAATGCTTGGCTAAGGGAAAAGTGAAAGAGTTACAAGCCAACTGCAGAGGAAATATCTTGGGAGTATTGAACCATTACATATGAACCAGGGAGAGTGTCTGATGGATGATAATAATGCATAATTTAATATCTATTTATTCATTTAGGAGCAGGCAGAGGGCAAAATCATTACTTCTTGATGACTAATAGATAGGATGGCAAATGATGTGGGAGGTGAAGGTGGGCGTGGGTGGATTACACAGTGGCTTATGCTGTTCCCTGGACGGTCAGGAGGTCACTCAACAGGGGTGAGAACGACTAGTTGTCCTGTCACGGTGTAGGGTTGCGTGTTAGCTCAGAGCCACATCTCGAGTGTTTGAGGTTATTTCACTTACGGTGTTAGTCACTGTAATGGTGAGGTAATGGGGCAGTGGGAAGAGAACACCTTTGCCAACTTTACACACACTGAAGAGGACATACACTTTCTGTTGTAAAAATCCTTGATACAAGATGCTTGATTTGTGCCATGGCTGCTATTGCTAATGAGTATTGACTAATTACAGTCATAATCACAGAAGCAACACAGCATGGTTGCAGAGTGGGTAGCACTCATGCTTCACAGCAAGTAGGTCATGGGTTCAATCCTGTGTCACGCTGGGCCTTTCTGTGTGGAGTTTTTTCCCCGTGTCTGGGTGGGTTTTCTCCGGGCGCTCGGTACTCCTCATCACGCAAAACATGCAACAACATGAATGTGGTGAGTAAGTGAATGATGGTGGTGGTCAGATGGTACAGACTGGTTCACCAGTGATTAGAAATATAGATACAGTAGATAGATAGTGAATAGATGTGGGAGGGTCCAAAGACAGTGGTGATGATGCAGGAAACTTTTATGGATATGTCGATATTGGTGATCTGTCCCTTATGGACCAACGGCTCTATGTGTTTTGTTATTACATTTCTTGAGTTGAACTGTTTGAATGTTGGTGAATAAAGTCCTCCGAGATGACTACTGTTGAGATTTAGGGCTATACAAGAATAAATTAAATTGAATTAAGCTAACAATCTTGAGTTTTGAGAGACTTCTTCTCGCCTGGGTAGGGTTTTATTGGTAGTAGTAATTATATTTTGATAAAACTATTAACAAGACTATAAACCCATTTTAAAATAATAATTAAGTCCCAGAAAGAGTTCTAACTCTAGACCAGCCATTCCCAAACTCAGTAACACCGAGGCCCCCTTAAAAATCTGACGGGTCTGCGTGGCCCCCCAAAATAATAACCAAGAAGACAACATTAAGAATAGGCTCTTCTGGTTATTTTATTTTGGGGAAATAGCCTCTGCTACAAACATTGTAATACAAAAATGATTACAGTGGATTATTAAAGTCAAATAAAGAACACAAATATTTTAATATTACAAACAAAACATTATAAATTTAACATTAAATAATTATATTATTTTTTTATTTTTTTTATGACCTCCCGCGGCCCCCTTGCAGTACCCTCGCGGCCCACCAGGGGGCCGCGGACCCCACTTTGGGAGACACTGCTCTAGACCATATGGTATATTTTGATCTCGTGGTACTTGAGACCGCACGTATCTTATGTGGTACTTTGTCTATGATTGAGAACCATAAAAGTCGTCAGTGATAATTTGCAACGTTTACTTTTTGAAAATGTAAACAGTTTCTGAATATATATATTTTCAAATGTGGTATTGGGCAAGGCTTGTTCTCAATGTAAACTGCGTGTAAAAACAACTCTAAGATATATCAAGTTGTCCACATCTTTCAATGTCAAACGGCCAACACTGCTCCACATGCTGTAATGAATCTTCTTTGTCCCACTGTGAGTTCACTCTGTGTCTCTGCATGAGTTCGGTCCGCAGGTGTGTGTGTTTGCGCGTACTTTGCTGTGGATACGTGTTGCGGCTCTAGTCCTACACACAGTGCGCGCTGTGAGTGATGGGAAGTGGTGCAGCCCGTGCGCGCCCCTCTGCTCCTCCTCGGAGTACAGCGGGACACTCTCTGCAGTTTGCTTATCCGGTTCCTTCCCCGTTGCCTTTGCGCGCACGACGTCTGCAGATCCACAGCGATAGAGCGAGCGAGCCCAGTCTGATCCCTGCGCTCCATGTGGATGCAGGCAGGACACTTGGACAATGTTTGTGATGAGAAAACCTCCCCGAACGCTTCATTGCATTTGAGGAAATAAACCAAACGGTGCGCGTCAGTTTTATCCCGTGTGATTTTTCCACTACAACATGATGGACGCACGTTTACGCCGCGTCCACGGACTGCACTCACCGGTGGCCGCTTGACGAGAGGGGGATCCCGGCTCCCTTTTCATCCTTTCTCCCCTAGGAAAAAATAGGAGTTTGCATGCACAACGTGGTTCCTCTCGGCAAGGTATGTGTTTTTTTTTGTTTCTGTTTACTTCTTGGGAAAGATGTAAACCAGGTCCTAACCTCCTCCAGGACTCACATTGTTGCATTTTTGCTATAGGTGCAGTTTTTTATGTCAAAATGTAGTTTTATTTTAATGTATGTGAGTATAGCTTTCTGAACATTTTAGCTCTTTCATGAGACCAAGACAAATTGTGCGTATTTCTATCATGTCAAACGTGTTGCGTGGACAGAACTCCGCACTGTCAACATATCTGTGTGTATTATTTAGTTTTTTAGGTAAATCATTTTAGTGAGTATATGACAAAAATGTACATTATAATTATTCCCTGCGGTTTCCCATTGCTGATGAAATAACTAATTACTTGTTTTATTTATTTTTTTCATAATATTTCCTCATTCACCACAGAAACTGCAGAGGGTTTTCTGTGAGACCACTACCTTTCCACACCAGCAAAAGCTCTGGGGAGAGTGAAAGAGTGAAAAGCAACCCAGCCATATTGACTGATAAAGCTAAATTATTGATTCGGGCACCAATACCTTTTTTAGAAACAGAATAAAAACAATCAATACTGCTGCTACTGTAGTGTGGCTGCTGTTTGTGTGTTTGTAATGATAGTAGTAACAGGTGACAGGGCTTGCATTTTATAAATGTATTTTGGATTTGGTTCCATCGCTCCAATGTTTTCTGTTTTGCTGTTTTTTTTAGCCATGGAGGGTCTTGCCTAAAGTGGATCCGACATAACTTCTCGAGTTTGTTTGACATCGCAACATCTGTATCCATTTGAAGTCTACCCTCCCATTTGTTGAACCATGGCCGAGAAGGCAGGAGGAGTGGGCCCAAAGCCTAGCAACCTCCATACCACCTCATCAATACCCCCTGAGCCCATTGATATCATCCGAAACAAGGCTAAGTCACGCCGGGTTCGCCTCAACGTGGGTGGCCTCAACCATGAAGTCCTGTGGCGGACCCTGGATCGCTTGCCTCGGACCCGGCTGGGCAAGCTCCGTGACTGCAATACCCACGAATCCCTAATGGAAGTGTGTGACGACTACAGCCTCAACGAAAACGAGTATTTCTTTGACAGACATCCGGGGGCTTTCACCTCGATTTTGAATTTCTACCGCACGGGAAAGCTGCACATGATGGAGGAGATGTGCGCCCTGTCGTTTGGTCAAGAGTTGGACTACTGGGGCATAGACGAGATCTACCTGGAGTCGTGTTGCCAGGCCAGGTACCATCAGAAGAAGGAGCAGATGAACGAGGAGCTGAGGCGAGAGGCGGAGACGATGCGGAATAGGGAAGGAGAGGGGGAGTTTGATAACACCTGCTGTCCGGACAAGAGGAAGAAGCTCTGGGATCTTCTGGAGAAACCCAGCTCCTCTGTGGCTGCCAAGGTGAGAGCAAAGCTAGAGAGTTGCCTCAAAGCATCGATCACGTTACAACGACACATCTTGATCACACAAGTATGCAGAACTGTGCAAAAGTTCTGATCCATAATATATTCAGGAGGAATCAATTATGGATATTGTTTTGGAATTTGATAGCAGGGTATGAGCATGTCCTATTATCCCAAGTTATGACATAAGGCCAGAAGATAAGCACTGATTATGAAAAGATTATTATTCTTTGTGTATCTATGCATAGACCTTCCCACAGTACAGATTATACAGACCATTCAGTGCTTTTCAGTTTGTGCGTAAATCTTTCACTCAAATAATTTAACAAGACATAATATCAACATGTGTAAACATTTCCTTAGTTCAAATTCAATACAAACACTGTCACACCCAAACCACACACACTTTGCTTCAAACTTTTGCACAGTGCTGCATATTCATATCTTAATCCCAGCTCTAATCCTCGGCCAAAGATTGAAAGCTTCACGTACTGTAATATTGTCACGCCGTTGACATCATCATCTCATCCTGTCATTTCAAGAAATCGGTTCAGGGATCTGTCCGCTACCCGTAACAGACATGGCATTGTGACAGATTGGGCGCTGATATGTTTGTACTTGGATCTCTGCTGGAGCTACATTAAAATCACTGCTTTGACAAAATAATTGGCAGACGTGACTACTGCTTTGCTTGTGTGAATAGCAGATCAGTTGGTGGTGCCCACATGCACACGATATCCCTGTGTATGCAACTGTTACTGAAGTTGATTTTGTTTTAGTGAGGGTGTTTTATGTTAAAAATAGCAATGCTTTGACTCATGTTATTTTCTGCAGTTGTTTTTTTTTCTACTTTTCAAGATAGTTCAGTTGTGGGAGCAGCTTGTATTGGAAGGAAGAAGCAGCATTCTGTACAGCAGTGGTATCATATGTCCATATAGCTCTCACAATGGATTTTCATCTCTTCTGTGATGCAGCAAAATTACAAGTCAATATGGCCTGTCTGCTGCAGGTTCATTCATAGCGTTCATCTTTATCAGCCTTTTACCTTGACTTTTATGTATTTATTGCACATACTCATCTGGCGCTTAACCTGTTGCTGCTTCAGGTAACATATAGTCGTGATATAAAATTATAAGTCAAGGTCTGATAGAATGATGACATGTGTTCACGGGCTCCACCCCCTTGTCCCCGAATTTCATTAGGTAGGTCAGTCCTGAAGAAATCCAATCAGCGGTAATTTACGTTGGGTCTCCAGTATCCAGCTCTCATCACCGAGTGGTCCGGGGCAGCCTGGATGGGATTACCTCCCATGTCAGGGGATCATAAACATGGCCCCAATGCATGTGCGTGTGACATGAGCTCACCTGATGTCCACTGCTGGGAACTGTGGGAAATTACTCTTTCTGAATAAAATGTATCAAAAATCCAAATTACAACTCTCAGTACAATAACATGTGATTTTCAAATATTATACTTTAAGATGCATTGCTCAACTGTCCTGGTTTTAGGGAATTGGTCTGATACCTGCTTGAAATGTCACTCAGTTTGGTTTAAAACATTTTAGTGCTCTCTTTAATGCTGAAAATTTGAGAAGACAATGCAAAAGGAAAGTTTAGATTAAATATCCAACAACATTTACATGAACCCAGTCTGTTGAGAAATCTCAAACATAAACCTCCAAGCTGCTAGTTAGCGTGCCTCTATCTAGACAAATCCATATAAATTCATAATATTTCGTCCGTAATTGATATCCTAAACTTTATTCTGCTGATAATTCAATATTACTATGAAAAGAGGCCATACGAGCATAACCTGCGTAAAACAGGGTCATCGTTCTGCTAAGTAATTTAATAGTTACGTGTAAGTAAATGGCAATTGAGCAGCAGGAAGAGACACTAATAAGGTCAGAGCATTAGCATTGGATGAACCACTTACTAACAGGCAAAAAATCAGCAAAATGTTAATACGTGTAGCTTGATATAATGAATTCCAATCAGTGCTTTGGTCATTTTTTATAACGAAGCAAACACTATACCGCAGTAGTTAGAGCAGACCATAGTGTTTGGGAAAAGAATAAAATGGTTTTCATTCCTTCTTTGTAAACCTTTGATTTTGTTTTGTTTGCTCAGTCATTTGTACATCCCTCCATGTGATTATAAAGACTTTTGAAAGACTAAAACTGCAATATGCATCTTTCCTGTTGAAGCTCCTTCCTTTGCTTGGGTCCAATGTTGTTGGTTTTCATCTATATAGGAAAAAAGCGTGTTACTTCACTAGCTTCTGACTTGTAGATATCCGTCGTATCTGCGGGAAAACAAGCAGACCAAATGTACAAAATCAGAGTAATAAAATTTTAATTAATGTTCAAGAATAATACCGTCAGAGAGGTACATTCCAACTAAAAAAATATATTACCTGTGGAAAGTTGTGCTGTGTATCTTTACCAACTCTTGTACCGCACTGCGCTCTCTACTTGTCTCACTGCATTAAATGATAAAATTCGAGGTAGAGTATTTTTTGTCTTAATGGCAATATCTATCTTAATTTGAGCACCTTTGTGACTTCCTTGAAACAAGATTTGCCAAAGGGAAAAGCCATTTAATCTTATTTCAAGAACTGCTGCTTCATTTATTCATTCCAAGGGAGACATTTCTATAGAGTCTTTTTAAAATAAGATGATTTTGCTTGTCCCATTGGTAAATCTTGTTTTTCAGGCAGTCAAAATGTGCTCCAAAAAGATCAATTCTTCTTGATTTATTTTTCATTACTTTTTTTGCAGTGCATTTTTTAGATTGTATGCGGTCTACAGTCTTAGGTACCTTACAAGTGCATATACTGTACATTTTCAGGTCCAGTTAAAAATAGTCACACAAAAAAATTATTATAAAGCCATAATTTACTCTCTGTACCAGCGCTACCATTTAAAAGTATTAAAATTCCCTCCCTATAAACTTTCTTTGACTCCTTGTCTATACGGTACAGAGCTATTGGTTCATTGTGATTCATGCCTTTGAAGCTTACTAAATCGCGTCCATCCCTCTCGGCGCCATCACAAATGACATGTATAAGGATCCTGTCGATACTGTATGTACTTTATTCTCAAACAGAATGACAGCATTGAAATCATTTCACATCTTTGCTCATATTTCAACAATTTCATTTTAAATAGCCGTGCATACCACAACCAACTTCTCTTACTTTTCGCGTTCTTGGGGGAAGCCTGCATTTTTCTTAGAGGGAAATCCCAACCTCAGTCCCGTATCACGCTGAGATCTCTGTCTCTCAGTAAATGTGATTTTAATGGTTTATTCTTGAAGGTTATCTGAAGCTGAAAGTGTATTTGGAAATAGACTCTGCTGTCAGATGGGAGGTCCCTGAGGTCGGGGAAGCCTTTTATGGGGTACGCAGAACCCTTGAAAGCCCTTGACCAGTAGAAAATGCCATTACTAAGCTCTACATTGCTGTGTGTGTGCTTTATGCAACTGCACCTCAGTCTCTTGCCAAATACAACCTGGAATACTCGTTAGTCTTCCCTGGAACGCGTTTTGTCCACCCAGGTCTGCCCCAATGAGATAATAGAGGACAATGTGCATGCAATGGCTCTCCAGGCTGTACTACACGTTCACGCTTTGCTACTTTATTTTGCTTTGGCTGAGGGTGGGCTGTTCCAACACAATGACAAAAAAGTGCCTAAAGCAAAGTTAATTTTGCATGACCAAATACTAATTACCGTTCACCAAAAAAATAAGGATTAAAAGCTTGTTTAATGTTGCGTGCAAGTAAAATTTAGCATTTGTTTGTATTGTATCACTTTCTTTGGCACTCACTGCTCAACCTTCAGCCAATAACTCATGCAGGCATTTCGGAGTTTGCCAGAAGTCTTTAATAATACCAGAATGAGATCTTTTCAATGTAACTTAAATTACCATAATGCTATGCTACTATATTCATTTGATTCTTGTAAGTTCAAATCTAAAGATGAAAGGAGATATCTTGCATACAGAATTTTACCCAAACAGCATTGTAATGAATTATTGCTATTAGGGGTAATGATTTGGAATGCCATCATTGTTATTGGCTTGGCTTGAGATTGGTTGGAAACTACAGACAGTGTGATGTAAGGAATGACTCCTTTTGTACGCCGGCTCTGAAGAGGCAGATCTTTGAAAACCTTTTGCCACTAAATAATGAATGAAATGGTAAAACAAACAAAAACTGCACACAAGTATGGCCACAGACTGAGTTATGGATTTATACTGTGACTTTGAGAGCTGGGATCTCAAGAGGAGGAGGGGCGAATGTAAGGGCTTCTTTATGTTTTTGGTGAGCTGTTGTGTATTGATATGGACGGTATTTCTGACCAAAACCGTGATTGTGATGCGTTTTCGATAACTTGTGTGTATAGAGTAAAAACCACAAGTGAATGAAGTTTTTAAATCGTATTAATGAAGCAATTACATAATACAGATTCCCACACATGTGTTAGAGCCATTATGGGCATATTTTTTTCTAGTTGTAGAAATTATAACCACATTACAATCACTGCAAAAAAAGTTTAAAAATGTATATCTTGGTTTCAGTAGTTTTTAAAATCTTTTCTCACATAATTTCCATAGTCAGACCTGAGGAGTGCTACTCAGATTTTGACTTTTTATATCACTTATGAAAAATATTAGACAATAGGCAAAATTTGCTTGTTCCATTGATAAATCCAGAGAAATGCAAATTGTTTTTTGTGCCTTTTCCTTCATTTATTTTTTGTCTTTGCAAAGAATTGAATTGTTCAATTCCATTGAATTGTGCTGCTCTCGTAGTGTCCCACTGTGGAACAACTGCACTGAAAGTATATTGTTTACTGTACCGTGCTTGACACCTGTAATGTGATCTGCTTACATTTCTGTCTTGCAAATGTGCCAGCAAACACACCACTGTTTTCTATTCCCTGAGCCATGCACGGAGCTGGCGCTCTGCTCACGCTGAGAAACAGCCAGCTCACAT